TCCAAATGAAGCTCAAAGAAAAATAGAAATATGAAAGGGGAGGTGTAAAAAAGTTACGAGCGCATTATTACGCAATACTTCACATCATTCAATTATTCTAAAAAGAAAAAATTTTCACGGACAAAATCTTCGTCGAAAATTCGAAATACACTAACCCACCTCTCTGTTCAAATGAAGCTCGAGGAAAAACAGAAACATGGACAAGGGATGCGAAAAAGTTGAGAAGCGCGTTAAGCGCGCGGGAAATACGAAGGTTCGAATCAATCCTCGAAAAAAGAATTCTTTTTTTTTTTTCCTCTCCCCTGGCCACGCGTGATTAATTGATAGCCATCTATCTTCATTTGGTGCTCGTTAGTGTCGCTGTTTTTTTTTTCTTTTGTTTTTTTTTTTTTCGGCCGAAAAAGTGAGCCGCTCCATCGGCGGCCGTGAGCCACAGCGACGAGAATCGTGGGACGAGAGGCGAAAATAGAATGAAAAAGAAAACTGGCCGGGAGAGAACGAGAGTCGATCGAGTACCCGCGACGATTAATCGACCAAACGAATCGCTGCCGCTCCGATTACGCGCTTCTACCTTCGCTTCGCTGTTATTTCACCGTTTCCACGCGTTCTCTACGCCGCGCCGCGCGCTGAAAAGTTGGCTCAACACCGAGCCTCCTCTCTTCTGACTCGTAGACGCGAATTATTCCGAACAACGATGGAAACTTGGACGTTATCACCGCGAATCTTATCACGGAAAATTAATCTGGGTCGCGGATTTCTGCGAACGAGAATTTTTGCATCGTTTATATTTTATATTAGCTCGTGATTGTCTTTTTTTTTTTTTTTTAGTAGACGTGATCGGGAGAATTGGAAGTTTTTATATATTGTTTATATTTTATGAATTGATCAAAAAGTGAATTTTTAACAGAGTTAAATGTAATTAACTTCGTTTTAAAGACGAACTTTCGTTTCTTCAACCGAAATAAAAGATCGCTTACAACTTTGAAATTGTTAATTTCTCGACCCACTTATTTTTTTATTTTTTTACTTTTTCTTCTATCTAGTTTACGAATTTTTGTTCCCTCATTCACCCTCTATTAATAAATTCTACTATACTATACTATACTATACTATACTTTTACTAAACTTTAATATTATAACATTATATAGATATTATAATATTTAATAATATTTAATATTGTATTTAAAAACTGTAATAATAAAATTTAATATTTTAATATTATAAAGTATATTATATTATAATACACTTTAATATTATACTATACTTTTACTAAACTTTAATATTATAACATTATATAGATATTATAATATTTAATAATATTTAATATTGTATTTAAAAACTGTAATAATAAAATTTAATATTTTAATATTATAAAGTATATTATATTATAATACACTTTAATATTATACTATACTTTTACTAAACTTTAATATTATAACATTATATAGATATTATAATATTTAATATTGTATTTAAAAACTGTAATAATAAAATTTAATATTAATAAATTTATTTATTAATTAATTATTATTAATTTATTTATTTATTAAAATATTAAATTAATAAATTAAAAACTGTAATAATAAAATTTAATATTTTAATATTATAAAGTACATTATATTATAACATACTTTAATATTATACCATACTTTAATACTTTTACTAAACTTTAATATTATTTACTTTAATACTAAACTGTCACTAAACTTTAATACTATACCATACTATTACTTAGGAGACATTGTACGTGAGTCGATTGCACTCTCAGAAAATAAACAAATAATAAATTTACGTGAAAAATCCAGCCAAAGGGGATTTTATCTGTCATTTAAATCCCCTTACAACTTTTCGATCTCTAATTCTTTTCGTTTTTTCGTTTCCTTTTACAGGCTACCGAAGGAGAATGACGAACGGAAGGATGACGAGGAGTTGGATCGCCGTGTTCGTTCTAATTTCGATGGCCGGCACGTGGCTGCAGCAGCACGGCTGCGTCGCGGAGCTCTACACCGCGTTGGCGGACATGGAGGAGCTACTGGAAACGGAAGCGGTGCTCATCGACACGCTGAACGGCTACATTAAAGCGCAGGAAGAACGCCTGGCCACTCTGAGAAAGTAAGTTTTACGACCGCGATTAATCCGAATTCGGTTCCATCTGGTCGTTTAACACGTTGATCGCCGCGTCAACCATGCTTCCATTCGGCGATAATATCCTATTTTTAAATCCTTCTTATAGACGATAGAGGAAGAATTTAACAGAGAAGTGAGTTTTTAATAATAAATCACATTTTTAAATTAACCTCGATGTAACAACGATATAGTGAAGTTTCGTGTTATTTCGAAGTAAAAATACGTAATATTGTAATAGCTATATATTTGTGACATGTTGAGAAAAATATTATGGGACTGCGAGTTCTCTGAATTCTCTAAAAAAAAAAATGTGTAAAAACTTCTAATTTGACAAGCCAACTTGGCAGAACTTAGCGAAATGTGTAAAAACTTCTAATTTGACAAGCCAACTTGACAGAACTTGGCGAAAAGAATAAAAGCCAAAAACGCTTAAAAAAAAAAGAAAAAGAAAATATAAAACGATAGAATCGTAACCCGTAATAAGCAAATTCATGGCCCCGAGAAAAGCCTACTCCTCGGTTTCCGGCCGACGATCAACGTGTTCCGCGCACGCCAACGTTTCCCTCGCGGATTGCTGTATTTTAGAACGTCGGTTAGAGTCGCTGATATCGTTATAGCATCGATACACACGGTATATATCGTACGTCGTGGTGCCTCGGTGATTAACCTGAACGTTTAGTCACGCGTCTCGAGTTCGCCAACTCGCTTGTTACTCCCGTTTCCGCCTACGGTGTTATTTCGAATATTTCACCCTCCTCGAAGCTCGCGAGCCTCGCGGTGTTTCCAGCGACGAGCTGGAATTTACGCGCGGCGAAAATACTTGGCACATATGTTACTATATATATATATATGTAGTTGGAGGTTTTACGAGATTCGAGAGGCTTTCACGTGCTTCGGTTAATATTATTAGCGGAGTGTTATCGCGTTATTGTTAGCAATCCCGCCGATGTTGCTGCGGCTAACACTCTCCGGATCGGAAATTTTATTTCCGGCCTTTTAATCCCGTTCTGCCCGTCCATTACTGACGAACCTTTGAAACATTTGGAAATCCGGGGAAATCCGCGCCGATCTCGGACTTTGACTTTGGGCGCGTGAGCCAACTCGATTTTTTTTTCTTTTTTTTTTTTTTTTTTTTTTTTTTTTATTTTTTTTTTTTTTTTTTTTTTTTTTTTTTTTTAATAAGAAAATATTGTTTAAAGATAAATGGGATAAATTACTCTTTGTCTTTTCAGAGTTTGAGAATAAAAGTAACGTTAATTTTAAATGGAACGATCTCGTCGTTCGCGGATCGGTCGGGAAATAACAATAATAATGTGGAGATCGCAGATTGCAGGCATTTTTAAGTACGTCTTTGAGGTCCGCACTAAGCTTCGACAGTGTTGAAAATTTGGCAATAATTACACTAGAATTTGGATTAAAATTGTGGCATTTGAAAATCCAGAAATTCAGAAGCTTAGAAAATTCGTCTGTTTGAACGCAGAGTCAAAGTTCTCTATTAACGTAATTAACATTTCGAGTGTTTAAAATTACCAAAGTTATGACATTGTATTAAATACGTGGCTTGTGACAAATTAAGAACGCGCTCATTTAACTGATATCGTCCGTCTCTTCGAGTCACTAACAAATAAACAGTTTTATTATTCATCGCAACGATTGCAAGACGAACGAAAGGTAAGTACGGACATTCAAACATTCAACAACAAACACGTTTCGAACGCTGTTACTCCATTTCACGTTCGAGTCTCCAATAAATGAACTGTTTTATTATTAATTACGAGATTACGAACTAAACACACTCGAGAAAGGATTGAACGCGTTCGAACGCTGTTTCACCAACAACGAAGCAGAACCAATTAATAATAATAATTTCACTTTTCGTCGTTACAAAAAAATATTCCTTTCCAGCTTCTGTGTAATGTCTTTCGATCGAAGTGGCGAGCAATTATTGCTGGACCGGAGTATAATCGGTAGATTTAACGGCGAGTTATTAATCCCCTTGCGCCGGCAACTGATCCGCGGACCTTAACGAGTGACCAATTGACCGTGCAAATTCGTCCCTTTTAATTTAAGCTTAATAAATTGAATTATATTTAAATATACTCAGAACTGAGAAAATATTGCAATTTTGTACCCAAAAATGGGCACGTCATTCCAGCGCAAGAAGAAGCTGGTCAAACTCGAGCATCGAGAGCTGTGTTAAATGGTGAATGCGCGTCCGTAAATTTTCGTTGAATCCGAGAGCCGGGCAATTATACGGGGTTCGACCGGAGGATTATCGGTGATTTCCCCTCTATTGAACGATACTCTTAGAAATAGCCCGATAGGTATAATTTTACGCTGGTAATCGTCGTAATCGTCGTCGAGGGCGGTGAAAGGCTCTGCTACGACTCCTCGTTCCGAAACCTCGTAATCTTGTCCTTGGAAACTCGGCCAGAATTCTTGGATTCTTATCTACTCGGTCGTTACTCGGCCCTTGCTACGTTACCTCGGTCACTATGCACGTGCTGTGTAAGTATGTAAGTCGGTTCGAAGGGATTTCGAAGGTGGAGGAATGGATTTGGCGGGAATTCGTTTAAATTTGTGTAACGGAGGGGGCCGAAATGATTTGAGTGGATTATGCAAAGAGTGAATTTACATTACAGGAGGGTGTGCTGGGGACCCACTGCCAAGTCTTACTTTCGTTTCGTCTTCTTCAGTCGGTTTGATGTATTTAGTCAAGTGATAGGTGTAACGTAACTCTTTTTGGACAATAATAGCACACTATGTGAAAGAATTTTGGGTTTATTATTATTAATTAGAATAAATTATGAATTTGGTCATCAAAAAATAAAATTTTTAAATTTAATATTTTAAATGGCAGAATTAATTTTAATAATTTATTTAATAATAATGTTTTATTTTTTTGATTATATTATTTTAAGAAATTTAATTTATTTAATTATAATTTTATTTTTTTTTTATTTTAATATATTAAATTGAAGAATAATTTTTTTTAATTTTAGTTTAAATTATTATTCTAATGGATTAATTATTATAATAATTTTAATTTTTAGAATTATTATTATTATGAATTTAAATTTTGTTAATTTTAAAAATTATTGTTTGTTTATAAATTTATCATTAATGTTAAGTATTATTCTGATGCAACTATTAAATGAACGAAGTATTTCTTCACAGAAGTAGTGAATTATTTCAGTAGGTTTTGAGAAGCATTTTAATTACGTTATATGTTGTTTCATATTATATTATGTTGTAAAATTATGTGTTCGATATACATACGTGTACTATGTGTTATATGTTTGAGTACAACTTCGTTGAACATTTTTTTTGTTAGTTGAACAACGAGGTAGTGAATTATTTGCATCTATTGAAAGTGTCGAAAAATATTTGAAGTCAGTATATTCCGACATAACTATATTTTTAGAAAACAAGGTGTTTCGTTAGCAGAAATAATGCTTTAAAAATGAAGAAATTTTAGACAAAACGTTTTAATTAACAGTAGGAAGGAACTTTAATCTTATTTCAACCCTCTGTACCCTCGTCATCCGATATATCTTCTAACTGATCCTTCGATTACATCCTTCTTCGTTAATTGTACGTAATAAAAGAATATTAAAGTAAAACAACCAAAAAAAAATCATCACGTAATTTCAACCCCTATCTATCATTATTCATATAATCTAAATTAAACATTTCAGCGAAATATAAGATTTCAAAGCAAAATCATGTATAAAATGTATAGGAAATAGAACACTGATTGTGATATATACGATAAATTTCTTTAAAATGACCAATTTATAATTTCAGCACATTTACAGCAGCGTATTTTTAGAAACTTGAATGATTTTTAGTAAAATACTGTATTGTTTCAAAAGTTTCTTTCGTTTTTTTTTTTTTTTTAATGAATAACGCGTGCACAATATTTTGTGCCGTAAGTTTGTGCTTTGTCATTGAGTTATGATCCATTCTGATCATTATCATTATCATTCGTAATGCAAACTTTCCAAAATTTCTGGAATTTTGAACGAAAGGAATAGATGGGGATTGTCTATTTCTTTCATTAAAAAAAAAGAAAAAATTAAAAAAAATGAAACTTCCATGGCGAAAGATTTTTACCGGCTGCGATAAATGAGATAAGAACGCACCAACAATATTTCGCTAACGAACCCCAAAAGTTTTAGGAGAGACAGAGGAAGCTAATAAAATCAGAGTCAACGTAAAACGTAAAACATAAAATGTGTAAAATATGTGAACGTAAATGAAAATGTTCATTGATTAAACTGACGAAAAGCACTCTTGTACTCTTTTCGTTCCAATTACAAATTTGCTTCTTGCGCTTTAATTTCTTCGTTACGAATTCCACGCTTGTTTCTCACGTGCATGAACAAAACTGTTCTGTCAATAAACCAAGAAAAAAAAAAAGAAGAGAAGACCATTCAAATGATACAGAGAGAGAGAGAGAGAGAGAGAGAAATGACGAAGGAGAAAAGAATTTCGACTGGAAATTCGAATGGTGACTCGGATATACGATAATAATCGAATGGTGGTCGCGGTATATTCCCGGCACGTCGCGGTCGATTTTTTTTTTCTTTTTTTCTTTTCGGGAGAGTGGGCGGAGGGCGCAGACAAAAGGCCGAGCAAGAATATAAAAAAGATCTCCCCTTTCGCGCCTTCGCCATCGAGCCTCCGGCACACTCCCAATAATTCGCGAACCCTTCTTCTCTCGTCGCTCGTTTTTATCTTCCCCGGGGTGTGATTTGGCGCGTTGCCCGACCCGATACCGATGCCTTGGCCATTTCGAGGGCAACGGGGAAATAAGAGGAGCCGGTGGACGAAAAACGTTAAGAAACGTGGATTCTCCGACCGCACTTTCCCCTATTCTCTCTTTTCGTTTCGTTTCTTTCCTTCTCTCTTCGTTTTCTCTCACTTTCTTTCAGAGGTGTCCGTCGTGGCAACGCGCGACACGACGGTTTCGCTCGTGCGAC